CAGGTTTCCCAGCAAAGCAGACTCCGCTGCTGCTCATGTTTTTAACCGACTTCCTGGCCTGGATGCCCGGGCCTCTCCTGTCCGAGGCCAGGCGTGGTGGGAGGGCCGGAGGCTGGCTGGCATCCTCAGCGGGGGGCCTCTGTGCAAACCCAGGCCTGACTCCCAGAGCACACGTCCCCAACCCTCTGCCTGGCCCCCAGGAGCGGCCCCGGGCCGGAGGAGAAGGCCCGGGCCGGGAGGAGAAGGCCCGGGCCAGGAGGAGCGGGCCCCGGCGCGGGTTCGGGGGTTCCCAGCATGCCTCCTGGGTGGCATCTGCCCTCGGGCGTCTAAGTGGTTCCATCTGGAACCTAAAACAGAACGCTATCGTCTGCACAAGGAAGACATTTGGTGAAGACGGTTCTTTGTTCCAAACACCTAAAAAGACTTCCATAAACAATCCGGGAAAATAAAAGATGTTAAACAATTAGAAACATTTCCCCAAAAAAACTAAAACACATTGGGAACCTGGTGCTGAGTCAGGTTCCCAGGCAGCAGACCAGCTGCGAGCACAGAGTGCTGCAGAGAGAGAGAAACATCCAAACAAAACGTCCCCTTCAATATCCAGCCCCGGCTCACACCCCCACTCCCCAGCTCCTAAGAAAACCGGCCTCAGTCCCTCACCGTCTGCAGAGCCGGGGACCCACACACCATTTCCTTCTGCAGCCTCTGCATTTGACATTCTCTGAGCATGCCAGTGTCAACAATAACATACATGTAACCAATGTTTTTTTTTTTTTTTAATATATTTTATTGATTTTTTACAGAGAGGAAGGGAGAGGGATAGAGAGCTAGAAACATCGATGAGACAGAAACATCTATCAGCTGCCTCTTGCACACCCCCCACTGGGGATGTGCCCGCAAACAAGGTACATGCCCTTGACTGGAATGGAACCTGGGACCCTTCAGTCTGCAAGCCAACGCTCTATCCACTGAGCCAAACTGGTTTTGGCACCGATATGTTTCTTGAATACGGAGTTTTTAACTGATGACTATGACGTAGACCGCACTTGTACCCGGTTAAGTGTATGCTGTGGCACCTGGCACTGAAGTCAGCACGATGCCCTCTCTTCACAAGTTCCCAGGCAGCATCCACTCCATCCCTCTCTCCCCACACTCCCCATCTCAGGCATGTCCCCGCCTGCCACCCAGGTGGCTCAGGCCAAACATTTCAACGTCATTCCAGACTTAGCTCTTTCCAAACACAAGGTATCAGCGAGCCCCACGGGGGTGAGTTACCGCCACCCACGTCCAGCCGGAGGCCAGCCACCTGTCACCAGCCCCCTGCGAAGGCCACGTCACCACGAGCAGATCACCCCTGGACCAGAGCACAGCCTCCCTGCCCGGCGCCCACCGATGCCCGCCTCCTCGGCCGCTCTCCACACCCAGCACTGCGCACCAAGCACCGGGACCCAGGGCTCTCCCCCAGGCACGCAGACCGCCTCGGGCTCCAGGTGAGACACGCTTGGCGACTCCCTGCTGCTGGCAGTTTGGGTTTCCAGGCGGCGTGAACTTGGCTGTCTCTCGCGTGCACTGGCCATTTGGGTATCTTCCTGTGTGATGTGCCTGTTCAAGTGTTTTGCCCTTTGTTTTATTTTTTTTTTTACCTTGAAATCGGTTTGTAGTTTTTAAATATATTTTGAACACAAATATCTCTGCAGACAAATGCCTTAGAAGGATCACCCACCCCTTTCCCTGCTCTCTCGTCCTCTTCATTGTGCCCCCTGATCAGCAGGTCTTCATGGGACTGACCTCCAAGCTACCTTTCCCCTTCGGACAGCCACTGCGGACGATGGCAGAGCCTCCACCTGCTCGGAGACCATGAAGGCGGCCTGACTTTCTTCTAATGGACGGTGTACTCTTTTCCCCTGACATGCTTCCCTCATGATCTCTCACGGATCTGTCACGCGTGCTGTGAGTGAGGGGACAGACACCGGGGATCATCCTCACACAACGCCATCCCTGTCAACGCCATGTTCCCTACCCCAGTGCTAGGACACCATGGCCAAAGACAGTGCCGCCCGCCTCTCCCTGCAGGACACCGAGATGCCGCAGGTGAAGGAGAATCTGTTCACAACGAGCCCTGACATCTGAGAGAATACGCCCCCGTCCTGTCTATCTGAGAGGATACGTCCCCGTCCTCTGTGTCCGAGAGGATACGCCCCATCCTGTCTGTCTGAGAGAGGATGCGCCCCATCCTGTCTGTCTGAGAGGATACGCCCTGTGTCCTGACTGTCTAAGAGGATACACCCCCGTCCTGTCTGTCTGAGAGGATACACCCTCTGTCCTGTCTGAGAGGATACACCCTGTGTCCTGTCTGTCTGAGAGGATACGCCCCCGTCCTGTCTTCCCTGTCTAAGCAGCATCGGTCGTTCCCTACCCTGGGGCTTTGCACACACCTTCTGGAATCCACCAAAACACACTGCAATCCCCTGTCTGCACCCCCACCTCCCTCACCAGCCTGGTCCAGCTTTGGAGAGAACCCTATGCAGCAGCTCGTTTCTCAGGACAAGCAGAGAAACGGATCCTCCAGGCCTGTGTTCTCGGTCAAGCACTACCGCCCCCCGCTCTATGCCCCCACTTCCTCCTCGGGAAGTGGGGAGTTAGTGATGTCCTTTGGGCCCTGCCCCTTCCTGGCTCCTTCTCTTCCGCTGGGTGTTGAGACCCTGCCATTCACTGCCCTGTGCCCGCCCCCCTGCCACCTCTCAAACAAGGCTCTCTGGGCTGGGCCCTGCCTGCCCCTGCCCAGGCTCGCTGGGGCCTCCAGGTGCACCGGGCCACCAGTGTCCATGCAGCTGAGGGATAAATACACTCAGATCCTCCCTCCCAGGCCCAACTCTTGCCACACTCAGTACAAATCCTTTGTTCTCAGCCCCAGGAAGCCTGGAGACAGGGACAGGATCTGAGGCTGATGTGGACCTCAGCCTTTTAGGAAGCAGAGTTTGAAGTCCACTCAGGCCTCGTGTCCCGTCTGGGTCCAGGCTTTCCTGGGGCGTGAATGAAGGGTCCTGCCCGCTGCTAATGAGGCAGACACTTCAGGCTCCCCCGCCCCCGCTCCCACCGGGTCTTCCCTGGTTTGCAGCAGGGAGAGGGGACACCCCGTGTGTCAGTAAAGTGGAAATGGGGGGCTGGGAAGAAATTTTCCCAAAATAATCCCTATTTATTGTTTTGAAAGCCCAATTACATAAGAGGTCCCCGTATGTCTGGTGTATCCATTTATCTTGAAATGAGAACCCAATGCATGAAGGTTCATGCAATAGGCATTCCTTTCCCTGGCTGCCGGCACCAGTTTTCCTCGGCACCCGGACCCAAGCCTTCGCTCCGGCCGCGGCCTTCCATCTTCCCTCCAGCCGGAGTTGTTGTACGGCTGGAGCCTTCAGTCTTTGCTCCGGCTGGAGCGTCACTCCTGTAGCTCCCCCTCCCCTCGCTGCCCCCCCACACCCCCCCCCCCCGGTCCCCTCATAGCAGGCATCCGGCCCTGCCCAGCTGCTCCATGCCTGCATGTGTGCCACCCAGAGGCCTGCAGCAGCTGGGGGAGTGGGGCTGCCGCCATCTTTGTATGGCTAATTTTCATACTCACTCCTGATTGGCTGATGGTTGTCTCAAAGTGATGGTCAATTTGCATATGTCTCTTTTATTAGTGTAAATAATAATTTATTATAATGCAATAGTAATTAATAGTTGTTACAAAAATACCTACAAAGCTTGTTATCATGTATTTTGGTAGCTATATTTTTGAAAATATGTTATTTAGCCAGAGACACAAAATCTTTTCTGCTGGCAAACATACGTAAAGCCCTGGTGCTTGGAAGTTCTGCCATGCTGCTGCCTGGTAGGCGGTCATGACTGACTGCACTGCTAACTCCATGGCCCCAGGCGTCAAACGGCTTCCCTCCACAGATGAAAAATCTAGAAAAATCAACAGACGCCAAGCTTTTCACATGCCTACAGCGTGCCTGCTGGGCCCTCAGGGGACGACACCTCTGAAGAGGGGACAGAGCAGGATGAGTGCCGTGTCATCCTGATGCCTTTTCCTGACGTCCTCATGCTGAGGCAGAAGCAAGTATCATGTGGCTAAAGGACGGTGTGCTCTACGGCGGGATTTCCATCCCAGCAAGGAGCTCAGGGCTGGTCTCTCAGTCGCTAGGTCAGCAGCCGGGAGGTGAAGGTGAAGGAATATAATTCCACGGACAGAAAGCAGATCTAAAATGTAAACCCGGCCCAGCGCATGCTAGTTCTGACACCCAAACACCCTCAGGCTGGGAATTCCCTTCCCGGGGAGAAACTCCATAAACCTCAGAGTTCTAGAATGAGGTGTTTTCAAAAAGTCGCGGGACGCAGGACAAATTGTTAAAAATCAGGATTGTCCCGCCAAAAGCGGGACGTCTGGTCACCTTATTCTAGAATCCTCTAGAAAGGTACGTCAACTGTACTCTTCTTCCAATGCTAAACGTTCAAGTCACTCAGCTTCTTAAAACGGCAGCATCGCGACGCTGTCGGCCTCCTGGAGTCAGCACTCGTTAACCCGGTCAGTGCACTCGGGGTGCTGAGACTCGGGGTGCAGAGACACAGGGTTCAACGGCTCATAGCACACCCACGCTCACCTCCCACAGGAGCCGGTAACTCACCTCCCACAGGAGCCGGTAACCCACCTCCCACATCAGCCGGTAACTCACCTCCCACATCAGCCGGTAACTCACCTCCCACGGGAGCCGGTAACCCACCTCCCACAGGAGCCGGTAACTCACTTCCCACGGGAGCCGGTAACTCACCTCCCACATCAGCCGGTAACTCACCTCCCACATGAGCCGGTAACCCACCTCCCACAGGAGCCGGTAACTCACCTCCCACATGAGCCGGTAACCCACCTCCCACAGGAGCCGGTAACTCACCTCCCACAGGAGCCGGTAACTCACCTCCCACATCAGCCGGTAACTCACCTCCCACAGGAGCCGGTAACTCACCTCCCACATGAGCCGGTAGTCCATGTGCTCGTCCAGCTCCTCCGGCCTCCGCTTCTCGCCGGCAAATGGCCCGAACTTCTCGCCCTGCAGGTGAAGGACAGGCGTTAGGTCGCAGGCAGTAAGCTGCCATTCCTCTTCGGGGAGAGACGTTTTCCTCTGCACCCCCGCATTGAGGCACATTTAAAATATTAGCTGATTTACCGAACACGAAACATTAATAACCCAACTTACTCTGTTTCTAGCCTCGGACCCTGAATCCAAGACACAGAGCCGAGCTCACAGGGTTAAACTGCGGAACAGTCAACCTCCAGGGAAGCCGAGTGCCTCTGGGAGGGGTCCCGGAGCCAGGAGCCCTGGGTTCCGCCCGCCCACGTGAGAGACAAGCCCACCAGGCCGCAGTCACCTGGTTCCCATAAAAATCACACAGCAGGCCCAGCGAGGACAAAGGAAGCAGAGACTTCCCACGCTCCGAGGAAGACTCACAAAGTTTAAATTCTCCTGCCAACATTCAAACAGCCCAGGGCACAGCAAAACCAGGGCCCTGGTGCCCCCCTGCCGCCCCCATGGGTGAGGGTCCCGCCCACAGCCCCCCTGGGGAAGGGTCCCCAGTGGCCCCCTGGGTGAGGGTCCCCAGTGCCCCCCAAGGTGAGGGTCCCCAGTGCCCCCCAAGGTGAGGGTCCCCAGTGCCCCCTAGGTGAGGGTCCTGCCCGCAGCCCCCTGGGTGAGGGTCCCCAGTGCCCCCCTGGGTGAGGGTCCCGCCTGCAGCCCCCTGGGTGAGGGTCCCGCCTGCAGCCCCCTGGGTGAGGGTCTCCAGTGCCCCCCTGAGTGAGGGTCCCCAGTGCCCCCTGGGTGAGGGTCCCCAGTGCCCCCCTGAGTGAGGGTCCCCAGTGCCCCCTGGGTGAGGGTCCCCAGTGTCCCACTGGGTGAGGGTCCTGCCCACAGCCCCCTGAGTGAGGGTCCCCAGTGTCCCCCTGGGTGAGGGTCTCCAGTGCCCCCCTGGGTGAGGGTCCCCAGTGCCCCCTGGGTGAGGGTCCCGCCCGCAGCCCCCTGGGTGAGGGTCCCCAGTGCCCCACTGGGTGAGGGTCTCGCCCAAAGCCCCCTGGGTGAGGGTCCCTAGTGCCCCCCTGAGTGAGGGTCCCGCCCACAGCTCCCTGGGTGAGGGTCCCCAGTGCCCCCCTGGGTGAGGGTCCTGCCCACAGCCCCCTGGGTGAGGGTCCCCAGTGCCCCCCTGGGTGAGGGTCCTGCCCACAGCCCCCTGGGTGAGGGTCCCCAGTGCCCCCCTGGGTGAGGGTCCTCAGTGCCCCCCTGGGTGAGGGTCCCCAGTGCCCCCCTGGGGGAGGGTCCCGCCCGCAGCCCTCTGGGTGAGGGTCTCAGCATCAGGGTCCTGGGCCCCTTAATCACAGGCTCTGGAGAGGGACCAGAGCCAGGTGAGAGGCGGGTACCAGGCTGGCTGCAGAGGCCGTGGGGGAGAGGCAGGCCGATAGGTAGTGGCCCTTTTCTCGCAAGGAAAGAAGCAGGGACTGGGGACAGGGCGGGAATCTGCCGCCAGGTGTGTGCAGGCACAAACAGCTCTGCACCCTCCGCCCACCAGCGCCTGGGCTTGGGCAGCACCTTCCCTTCCCTCGGGCCAGAGGAGGACGCAGCCCCCACTCTCCCCGGGAAACTGAGGAGCAGCCGGGGGAGGGAGGGGAATAACCACCAAGGCCACGCTCCTGGGACGACCAATCGCTTTGTGAGCAGCAGAAAGGCCGGCCCCGGGGAGAGAGAACTGTTCCGGCTTAAAGGGGCCCCGACAGCTGGCCAGCCCCGAGTGTCCCAGTCGAAGCCACGGTCCTGAGCACAAGGACAGAGTCACTGCTCCTGAGATCACGGATCCCCCCTCGGGCAGGCACGGCCACAGACCCTTCGTGAAAGGGAATCATTCCCGCCGGCGGGCCGGAGTGGTGGTTAGCCAAAGGTGTTCAAGAAATGCAAGGGCGGGGGAGTGGGGGAGAGTTAGCGTTTACAGAACAGCATGCACCCCTGCCAGCCCGTCCTCGGAGGACGCCCAGGAAACGGACGGAAACCGGACTCCGTGCTTCCATCACTGGCTGCCGTCAGGGTAGGGGCCTGTCCCGGGGGCTCGGGCGCTGGCGGTTCCTCACTCCCGCCCGGCCTGCTCCCGCCGCCACGCAGCAGTGACCGGCACCGAACGGCGACCCTGAGGATGAAGCACTCAGGACGGCAGCCTGGCACACGGAGCTGGTAGTGAGCGTGAGGATTTGGCGTTGACCCACGAGGTGCAGCTGTGCCCGCCCCTCGGTCACGTGCTCAGCCTGTAACCACACGGCGGGCGGCCACAGGTGTACACACTCCCCGAGGCAGCGGTCTACCCAGGACAGTGAGTGCGGATGTGGAGGAAAATCAAGGGATCCGTCAGTCCCCAGAAAGACTGAGGAGGAAGGAAACCCAGATGCGTGCTGTGGGGACGCTGGTGGAGGGCACCAGCCGGTCCAGGCCGCCCTGAGCCAGGACCCTTACCAGCTGTGAGCCCGTGTATCCCAGTCAGGCCACAACCCCAGGACGGGCGCCAGGACGCACAGTGCCCTGTGCCCTCGCAGCCCAAACGCTGGATGGCGCTGTGGGCAGCCAGCCTTCATGAACTCTGAGATAAAGTTCAGGATCCTGACCAGTGTGGGTGAGGATGTCTGCTAGAGAGAGCAGCCAGCAGAGCTGGCAGAAGCTCAGAGAGGGGGCAGCGGCAGCACAGAGAACCTCACGCCCATGTGCACAGGGGACAGGGGAGCTGAGATGGAGCTGAGTGCCGGGACTGCCCGATGGGCAGCTCCAAGCTCACAGGAAACTCAGGGGCAGCTGCCAGGTTACCCTGCCGGTGTGTGCCGGGCAGGGAGATGGGAGACGCTGCTGACCGGAGAGCTCAGGTGCCACTGCCGTGTGAGGCTGTCTGTCGAGGGGGCAGCATGTGGCTGCTCTGATACAGGCTGTGGTACAGAGGCTGATGCTACATGTGAGAAAGCTGGGCACTCACCCGCTGGTGCCTGGCTGCCTGCTGGATGGAGTTTGCTGTAGGAACCGGTTGGAGGAGGAACCTGCCCGGGCTTGGCATGGTAGAACGGGAGGACATTGAAGAACACATGGGCTCACAGACAGACAGAGCACCAGAGCCGGGCGGGGCTCCGCTCTGTCCTGACACAGCCTGAAAGCACTGACAGCTCTGAGTACTGCAAACAGGAAGCAGAACGCGGACGTGAGGGCCTCGCCGTTCAGAGCAGTCACTCCACTTTACACCTGAGCACAGAGATGCAGCTCTCCACTGCTTGCCTCACGCCCCCGTAAGAAACACATTGTGCATGTCGGCCAAGCAAATGCGCACATACACACGGAAACACACACACGTAAAGCTAACATAGGAATTTCGTGATGCAACACTGCCCTTGCTGGGCAGAGCACACTCATACTGTCTCCTCTACTTTATTTTATTAATTTCTAAAATATATTTTATTGAGTTTTTACAGAGGAAAAGGGAGAGGGACAGAGAGTTAGAAACATTGATGAAAGAGAAATATAGATCAGCTGCTCTTGCACACCCCCTTCTGGGGATGTGCCCACAACCAAGATACATGCCTTTGACTGGAATCGAACCTGGGACCCTTCAGTCCCCAGACTGACGCGCTATCCACTGAGCCAAACCAGTTTCAGCTGTCTCCTCTATTTTAATCACTTATGTTAAAATACTAGTTTTGACCCAATAACTTAATGTCACAACTCACCAGTCGGCCACCACCACAGTTTGAAAAGACGCCGACATAAAAACATACTCGGAGGAAGCAAACGTGTGGGAACCTGAGCTCTGGTGTGATGTGATGCCTTCGGAGCACACAGTGAGAGCGGGAGGATAATCGGGTCAGAGCAATGGCGCTGCTGTGGCAGCGAGGTTCAACCTGTGAGGAGCCAGCAGGTAACCCTCCGTGGCTCCGGGGAGAAACAGGGCAGATAGAAGGACAGCGGATGGGCCGACACCGGTGTGCTCAGTGGACAGAGTGCCGGCCTGCAGACTGAAGGGTCCAGGGTTTGATTCTGGTCAGGGGCATGTACCTTGGTTGCAGGCACATCCCCAGAAGGGGGTGTGCAGGAGGCAGCTGATGGATGATTCTCTCTCATTGATGTTTCTAGCTGTCTATCCCTCTCCCTTCCTCTCTGTGAAAAATGAATAAAATATATTTTAAAAAATAAGTAAGTAAAAAGACAGCAGATGGCTGGCTGCAGGAGGAGGTTTATCCCACCATGCCCATGCTCCCCCTCACCAGCCCGACCCTGCTCACAGAGGCCCCGCAGCACAGCCAGCGCTGTGTCGTCACTGTCAGCGCACACACTGTGCTTGTCACGGCCGATCCCTGTGGAAACGCTGCCTCAGAGGAGGCCCCCCACCCCGTGGCTTCACCCAACGCGGGCGGCACACCCGTGAGAGGGCGATTTGGGCCACGTACGATACATATGCTATACATCATTCTTCTTTTAGTTGAAACAAATGAAATTGTCAAACTTTTATAAAATTAAACTTTTCATATACACTTGATTTTAATTACACAAACATGTCTACATACTTAAAAAACGGGTAAATGACAAATCTGTCCATTTTTTTACATACTTATTCAGAAAACATATTTTATTATAGAATTCGGCTTTATCGGACACTCCCTCACCCAAATTAGTCTGTTCTACCAAGGGGTGTGTGTATGTGTATATATATATATACATATATATATGCCTTAGCACATTAAACACCTAACGTAAGGTCCATAGTTAATGACAGACAGGAAACCAATGTCTCAATCTAGTTTTTTGAAAATTTCGAACTGACTGGTAGTTGGTCCACCGTCTGTGACCAAGCGGGGAAGATGTCCCAGGAGCCACAGGAGGACTCCAGCCCTCCCCCTTCCCGTGGCCTGCATCACTGACACGGCCTCCGGCCGCGATGTCACGGGAAGAGCCCTCCCAGAATTCTCCGCTTCTATCTCAAGGGCCAGGACCTCACAGGCTTACAAGTTGGGCAGGACGCGACCTCTGACATCCAACAGCAAACA